AGAGTGCCATGGCATAGCTCACAGCAACCTCCATCTCCTGGGCTCAAGCGAGTCTCCTGCCTCTGCCTCCCAAGTTGCTGGGACCACAGGCGCCTGCCACAACGCCTGGCTATTTTTTTTCGGTTGCAGCCGTCGTTGTTTGGCGGGCCCGGGCTGGATTCGAACCCGCCACCTTAGGTATATGTGGCTGGCGCTTTAGCCACTTGAGCCACAGGTGCTGAGCCGAGAGACCATCTCTTTCACAAGGATCTGAGACACCAAGGATACATCTTGTCACTGTGCCTAATGTTCTTAAAAGAGCTTTATTTAGGATAATTCTAGGATAAATGTAACTAAATACTAATTCTGAGACTTTCTTGGCTCCTCTATAGATTAACTGGAGACATTCTATAGTGTTCCAAGGCCTAGGGATCAGCTTGTTAACATTTATGATCTTACCTCAATAATTCAAGGAAACAACTATAGAAACTGGCCAAACATCCATCATGAGAAAAATAAGTCAATTAAGTAATTATTGTTAAATCTGCTTTTTTGTTTCTGTTTATAATGGTCTCTTTACTTCTTACCCATCCCCCAAATAGACATACATGCACATGGGTGCATACAATAAACACAGCAGGGAGCACCAAGTCTGAGTACTTACAGAATCCACACTAAGCTCTTATGCAGCTCTGGATCCACCGATTCCAAATCTGAGAGCTGGATAGGCTTCCCCAGCAGCTGCTTATAGAAGGGCACTGTGAAGCCCCCATTGATGTAGTGTCCATGGAACACAGCCAGCCCCATGATCCGACCCACAAAGTGGAAATAAGACAAGTGGTCCTGCAGGAGGCACCAGAGAACACGAATTTGTTAGGAAAAGCCCAGCCAATGCGGAGATCTTATGCTTTCTCTAAACTTCCTGAGAGAGCTGTCTATCCCAGAGGCAACCAAAGACTGACTGTGTTTCTTATGGGCTCTTCTTACCACCAGATGAAAGAAGCTGCTTAGACAGGCAAAATTTATGGCATATATTTTGTACACTTTTGCTGGACAACAGTTTATATGCACTTAGGTCCAGCACCTTGTCCTCAGAACTGTTGTAAAATTTGCTGGGCCCACTGCAAAATGAAAATGTGGAGCCTCTTTTTTTTTCTGAGACAGAGTCTCACTATGTTGCCTTCGGTAGAGTGCCAAGGTGTCACAGCTCACAGCAACCTTCAACTCTTGGGCTTAAGTGATTCTCTTGCCTTAGCCTCCCAAGTAGCTGGGACTATAGGCACCTGCCACGATGCCTGGCTGTTTTTTTGTTGCAGTTGTCATTGTTGTTTAGCTGGCCTGGGCTGGGTTTGAGCCAGCCAGCCTAAGTGTATATGGGCAGCGCCCTACCCACTGAGCAACGGGCGCCACCAAATGTGAAGCCTCTTATTCAAAAATGATTGATAAATTTTAATTCAGTGATGGCAAAAAATCAAACCAAGCATGGGACCTTCACAGTGGCAAGGGCCTTGTGCCATATGCAGGTTGCACACCCAGGAAGCTGTCCTCTTTTTCCTCCTCTTTATGCCCAAAAGAAAAGGGCAATCCCCTCCTCCTCCCTCCCAATCTACATCCCACAAGAAAGAGAAGAAATCCTAAGGCCTGGGGGTAAGGGAACAAGGAACACCGGAAAATAAGCCAAGTAAAAGAGCCATTCTAGATTTTAACTAAGAAACTGCACGTTTCTACTTTCAGGTTTGAATTATAATCATCTCAGAAAATTAGTCAAAACTTCCCTTCCATATTGGTAACATGTTCTTTCACATTTGAATGTCCCCCGACTTCACCTTGGTGGCCTTGTGCACAGCACTGACGATGTACATGGCCCCACAGGGGAGTCCTCTGGTGACTGGCTGCCCACCCTGAGGCCTAGCAAGCAAACACTGCACTTATTTTCTCAGCTCTAAAACAAGCATGCTAAGGGGTGTCATCATGTGTAGAACCTCCATAGTTGACCACCTCCTTAAGTTAACCTGATTTTCACAGACTGGACATGCACCACACATACGTGTTAGTACAGTAGTCCTAGTTCCTTGTGTTGACCATGTTCTTATGTTGACCAGTTTGCTATAATCCCTTCAGTGGTCAACTTACGGAGGTTCTACTGTATTTCAATTCTGACTGGGAGGAGGAAGGACTCTGTAACCCACTTCTCAGAATGACAATCTTAACAAATGCAGCCATCATACTGACGTTCCCTTAAATAGCAATGAACTGTTCTGAGTGAGCAGTTCAATCTCACCCTATCCTCCTTCAAAACAACATACCCAGTGATCTGATCCTGACACTTAAGAATGCAGGATGGAAATCTGCCATCTTCATTCTGTTCTCACTCTACCCTTAGATGTTTTACTTACCATTATCTTTAAGTCTACAATGAATAAATCAAGATTTGGGACTGAAACTGAAAATCCATCTTAAAAATTCTCCATCTAAATCCCCTACCTCCTTATTTATTCATACTTACAGGGTTGATTGAAGAATCTGGGTTGATTTGCAACATGTAAATATTGTCCGTGGAATACTGGAAGAGTCCATAATATGGATTCAACATCTCATGGCACAATAAATAAAGCCACTCTCTAGGAACAACAATAAAAAAATCCATTTCGTATGTGCTAAAATTTCTAGTTTTAGATCTTAACAGAAGGATTGATTCATTATGTCTTAGAAGGTCAAAATAGTATAATGTAAGATGAGCAATTAGTCAGAGTACGTGGCTCTGAGAAGATGCACTGTATAGGCAGGGAAAGCAAACCTAATGAACCTCACAGTGTCCAGGAGAGCAACCAGAGGCAACTCATGAATACCCAATTACTAATCCTCACCAAAAAATGACCAAAACGCCAAGGACAAATCATCTGAGAAATAACAGTGGCTAACTGGGATTGGTATGACTGTAGAAGTGCAGTGTTCTTAGCGGTCTACTTGTCACCTTTCTTGCACCTCACCTAAGGTTTTCTCTTACACTTCTCAAAGATCAGAATTGATCTTTGTTGCTATGATCAAAATCTCAGGTGATGATATTAATAATGTGGTATTAACTGATAAAAGTATAATTAAAAAGTAGCACCACCCCCACTTTAACAATAGTTAACTTGAGTATTGGGATTCTGGGTCATTTTCAGTTTTGTTTTTTTTTTTGCTAATTTCTAATTTTTTAATTTAAATTTTTAGCCAGGTGCAGTGGCTCACACCTATAATACTAGCACTTTGGGAGGCTGAGGTGGGTGTATTCCTTGAGCTTAGGAGTTCAAGACCAGCCTGAGCAAAAGCAAGACCCCATTTTTTTCTACTAAAAATAAAAATACTAGCCCGGTGAAGTGGCAGGTGCCTGTAGTCCCAGCTACTCAGGAGGCTGAGGTAAGAGGATCACTTGAGCCTAAGAATATGAGGTTGCCGTGAGTTATGATGCCATAGTACTCTACCCAGGGTGACAGAGACTCTGTCTCAAAAAAAAAAAAATTGAATAGACAAATTTTAGTTTTTAAATTTTAAATGTTTCAAACAAAAAATATCTCAAAGTCTAGGGAGGTAGAAGAGTGATTATGTAAAAGAATGACTTTGGGGGGAACATAGTGACATGACGCCCCACCCTCAAATGACTTTTGCTCTTCATAATTTTCTGTTGAATTTTTATTTTATTTTTTACCAGAATCACATCACTTTAATAACTTTACAGTTTAAACTTTAAAAATATTAACTCTGAGAGTTTTAAAATCTGGATGGGGTTCATAAGTATGAGTTATATTATTTTATGAATTCCTTTACTGTTTGAAATCATTTTATTATTTTAAAAAACTGCAAAATCAAAAATAGTCCAACAAAAAAGTACTTTAAATAGAAATTGTATGAATCAATTGCTAGGTCAGGTTGTGATAAGCCCAGGTAGAAGGGGAACCCTTATACAAATACTTGTGGCAATTCTACAAATAACCTTTTATTCTTTCTACTCCAAACTCCTTTCAAACAGATAAATCCCATTAAGACAGTAGCTCCAAATTTTATTCTAGAATTTTACTCTTTCAAACAGAAAAGACACAGAAGTGATACAGAATAGGGAAGAATAAGCTCAAATGTAAATAATTTGCCCAAGAAAATTGTGAGAATACACAAAAACCAATCAGGCCAAAACAGTCATGCATTGCACTCAAAAGAATAAAAAGGAACTGCCAGGAGGGATAAGACTCTGAATCTTATAAAGTCTCTTTACCTGAAAAACAACACTGCTTAGCTTTTATTCACCCCAAGTTCTGGAGTTGAGATTTTAGAAAAATCTTTGAAAAAACCAAGGACCCACAATTGTCTAGACAGAAGTGATTAAAATACAAGCTAACGTTCCAACTAAGCCTTAGACAAGGTAAAGGATACAATTAAAGTTTGTTCTGGAAGTGGTAAGGAAAGAAAGAGCTAACTATACAGGTGAGACAGGGGCTGCAGGAATGGCTTCAGGACCAAACAAAGGGAAGGTCAGCATAGCTTGAATTTCATAGACCAGATAATGAATGCATACATGCATGTGTGTAATATACATATAACTAAGATCTCTCTGCATTCTCTGAAATCGGTATGATCCCATTTAGACACAGGGAAAACTCCAAGGAGTGAAAGGACATTAGACCAAACTGGAGGTAGGAAAACCCTTCCCAGTCCAGCACTAGGTTAATCGAGGGAGCGCCACAAAAACTTGTCTCCACATGGAAGATTGGAGAACTATGGAAAATGTAAACACACTATCACGCCTACCAAATCACACCATAGTATTCACATGCCTGCCTAGGAATATATAATACCAGCCATGCAAAGGAAAAATGGTAAACTGAAATAGTTTAAAGTACAAAACTCTTGAGACATCTTGATCCTATTTTAAAAAAAAAACCATAGATAACTTGGAAGTAGTTTGATTTGAATTGTTAGGATAAACAAACATGAATAAGTAGGAAGATTCTCACCTGAAAAGGGAGGACAGAAAGGCTAAACCTCTTGCCTGAAAACAGAATTGGTGTTGTTGGACAAACAAAAGTTACATTTTGCAATTAAAAAAAAAGACGGTTTCTAGAGTCAAGATCAAGAAGATCAAGGAAGAAAGTTGGGATAACTGCTGTAGAGCTGAGAGTCTATCTTTTCTAAATAGTGAAGGTGTGAGGCTCTCCTATCCCAATTTTCCAAGAAGGAGATATAGTTACAGTCCTCACAGGCATATGGGGCATCCTTTGTGGCAACCACAAGAATTATAGTTTTGTGTTTACTGGCATAATTTTTGATTAATGCCTGTATCTTATCAGACTGAGAAGTCCTGGCATGGGTGGGAGAGAAATAACATGTTATTTTGGTCACTATTGTGTCCCTAGTACATAGTAGAGTCTCAACATTTCATGGTTAATAAATAAACACAATTCTTCTTTTTTTTTTT